GCTTAGGTGGGAGTTACTCATTAACATTTCTTTTGTTTCCAAGGGTGGGAAAGGTGTCTGGAGGAGGGAGTCATTAAGGCCACCTGGCAGGGGGTCTTCATGAGGAATTTGAGGTGTACATGTAACATATCTTTTGTTTCCAAGGGTGGGAGAGGTCTGAGGTGTGAATGGTCATTAACATATCTTTTGTTTCCAAGGGTGGGAGAGGTCTGAGGTGTGAATGGCATTAACATAGCTTTTGTTTCCAAGGGTGGGAGAGGTCTGAGGTGTGAATGGTCATTAAGATTTCTTTTATTTCCAAGTGTGGGAGAGGTCTGAGGTGTGAATAGTCATTAGCTAATCTTTTATTTCTAAGTGTGGGAGAGGTCTGAGGTGTGAATAGTCATTAGCTAATCTTTTATTTCTAAGTGTGGGAGAGGTCTGAGGTGTGAATGTTCATTAACATATCTTTTGTTTCCAAGGGTGGGAGAGGTCTGAGGTGTAAATGGTAATTAACATATCTTTTGTTTTCAAGGGTGGGAGAGGTCTGAGGTGTGAATGTTCATTAACATATCTTTTGTTTCCAAGGGTGGGAGAGGTCTGAGGTGTGAATTGGTCATTAACATATCTTTTGTTTCCAAGGGTGGGAGAGGTCTGAGGTGTGAATGGTCATTAACATATCTTGTGTTTCCAAGGGTGGGAGAGGTCTGAGGTCTGGATGATCATTAACATATCTCTTGTTTCCAAGGTTGGGAGAGGTCTGAGATGTGAATGGTCATTAACATATATTTTGTTTCCAAGGGAGGGAGAGGTCTGAGGTGTGAATGGTTATTAACATATATTTTGTTTCCAAGGGTGGGAGAGGTCTGAGGTGTGAATGGTCATTAAGATTTCTTTTATTTCCAAGGGAGGGAGAGGTCTGAGGTGTGAATGGTCATTAAGATTTCTTTTATTTCCAAGGGTGGGAGAGGTCTGAGGTGTGAATTGGTCATTACAATGTGTGACAAGCTCATTAGGAACATCCTGTGTTCAGTGTTTTGTCCATCTGAGTACCTTGAAAACGCTTTGCATGCATTTTTCATGATGAAAAAAAGGCTCTGGACAGCATCGGGAACTGGAAGAGTAAAAAAAAATGTCAGACGCAAACGCTTACAAACGTGATTTGACGACTGTAAACTCAACTGGCTGTAAATGACTGTAAACGAAGATGTGTACATGGACACATAGGAAAACATTAGGGAGGGTTCAGGGGCTGCTGAAAAAAACACTAAACAGATCCTAAACGTGAGTTTATCAGCTGCAGTGTACATGAGCCCTTAGTTTACAGAAAACTTGTGTTCAAACGCAAAACACTTGTAAACGCGGCAAATCGCGTTTATAAGTGGTTTCAAATTTTTTTTTTTTAACTCTTCCGGTTCCCAATGCTGTCCAGAGCCTTTTTTCATCATGAAAAACGCATGCAAAGCATTTTCAAGGTACTCAGATGGACAAAACACTGAACACAGGATATTCCCACCGAGCTTGTCACACATTTTAATGACCATTCACACCTCAGACCTCTCCCACCCTTGGAAACAAAAGATATGTTAATGACCATTCACACCTCAGACCTCTCCCACCCTTGAAACAAAAGATAAATGACCATTCACACCTCAGACCTTCCCACCCTTGGGAACAAAAGATATGTTAATGACCATTTACACCTCAAATTTCTCATGCAGACCCCCTGCCAGGTGGCCCTAATGACTCCCTCCACCAGACATCTTTCCCACCCTTGGAAACAAAAGAAATTTTAGTGAGCAACTCACACCTAAACTAATCTCAACACATCCTGCTGTCTCTGCTTCTACTCTCTGTATTTCTCTGAAACAGTCTGAAATAGTTAATAATGTACCAATTTTCAGTGCATTCTGGGCATTTGGGAGGTCCTCCTGTGCTTCTCTTTAAAAAATGCTTCTAAACGCACAAACACGCATAAACGTTTAATGCAAACGCGGCTAAACAGGCGTTTTTTAACCTACGTTTTCCAGAAGTCAGTTTCCATCGTTCGGAAGTGTCCCGTGTGCATGGCGCCTTAATCTGTTAAGTGAAAGCTGTGCAAAGTCTTGGTTTTCTTTAGCAGCCACTGTGTAGAAAAGCCTGTCCCCTGCCAGCATGCTGCAAAAAAAAAAGGACACTTGTTCTCTGGGGAAGCAGTGGTCTCTCTGCAGAGATCCGACGTGCCCCCTGTGAGTCAGAGATAGAGCTTTCCAAACCCATGAAGCTCATGCTCTCTGCTGATTGGAGCGATTAGCAGGGGGTGTGTCAGACCCCTGCGGAGAGGCGGGGTAAACTTTGTGCGCCAGAATATAATCCCTCACAAGATCACCTTTCTCTCAGTTATTTGCATTTCCAAAAATCTCCCAAAAACATCAAATATTCATATTTCAAGGTTGTTAAATGTTGTTACGCGATCTTAATGAAAGCCAGCTTGAAGTTAACAATGACTGGCATTTTCATTTGAAACGTTGGCAATTTTTGCATCAGGGCTTCACGTCTCACAATTAACAAGAACAGCGAGAATTTAGAAAAAATATCAGGGCGACATAAAAACCTCCATAAATATCAAGGGAAAGGGAGCCCTTCCCCCCCTACACACCAGCTTGTGGGCGGTGCTTAAGGCATCCAAGCGGGGACACTGTGGAACTGCAATCACTAACGCCTAGACCCGGCATCTCCAAACTGTGGCCCAGGGGCAAGATGTAGACCTTTGCTTGCTTTTATCGGGGCCTTGATTCACTATTTCATCCAATGATGCCAACAATGGGGCATCATTTCCTCCATTGACACCAATGATGGAGCACAATTCCAACTAAAGACACCAACGATGAGGCACCATTTCCCCCAATGACACCAACAATGGAGCCCAATGACACCAATGATGGGGCACAATTCCTCCCACTGACATCAAAGATGGGGCATTGTTTTTTCCCCCACTGACGTTGGGACTAGGGTTGGACTGACCATTCGTGCACAAGGGGAACTGCCCGAGGGCCCAGGGTCAGTAGAGGGCCCCATGACATGCCCCTGGTACCTTTCATAGGCTTTTTTGGGTGTGGTTTGAGTGTGGATGAGGACACAGGGGCCCCATGATCCCCTATTGCCTGGGGCCCCATGAGTTATCAGTCCGCCCCTGGTTGGGACCTTTTCTAGTCCCAATGGCAACAGTCTGACCTTTCTAAAGTCTGAAGTACAGGAAATTGGCACTTTTTTTTTTTAGAACGTTTGGAGACCCCCTGGGCCTACACCTTGGGCAGAATCTTGCAGTCAAGTGAAATCCACGTCAAGGCCGACTCAGAAGCGAGCAGTAACTTGCACGATTAACTCTTTTGGTGATCCCTGGCCAAGCTTCTCACATTGTTAAGACTAAGCACTTTGGACACAATGTATGTTAGAGAACACCACCCCTCAGGTGTGCAACATTTCTCAGCCGGTCCCGCGACGCGTGTACTGGTCTCCACCAACTGAGCAGTCCCATCATCTCCCTCCCTGTGACAACGTCCCATATGTTACTACTGGACACCGTGAATATACTTCCATCACTTCATGCTCGTTTTCCTCTCAAGGCCTCGCTCAATAACTCTCGTGACTCCCAGGCTGGGTCCCTAGGTACGCTCTGCTGCGGGGTCAGTCCCAGTATGTGAGGAACTGGTTTCTAGTGAAGAGGTCAAGCATAAAATCTCTGCCCTACCACAGTATTTGTCACCTCGGCCATGTCACCCATCTCCTGGCTGGTTGGTTGCTTTAGAAAGTGACACAAATACGGTAGATATTCGTAACAGCAATATAACCTCCTTTGGACATCATTCTGCTTGTTAGACTCTCTAAACCAGCAGTCTCCAAACTTTCTAAACAAAAGGCCAATTTACGGTCCTTCAGAGTTTAGAGGGGCTGGACCAGGGGCGGACTGACAACTCATGGGGCCCCCCGGGCAATAGAGGATCATGGGGCCCCTGTGTCCTTGCCCAAACTCAAAAAAGCCTATGAAAAAGGTACCAGGAGCATCTCATGGGGCCCCCTACTGAGCCCGGGCCCCCCGGCAGCGCCCGAGTTTCCAAATGGTCAGTCCGCCCCTAGGCTGGACTGTGGCCATCAGAACATTGTGCCTCATTGTTGGCATCATTGGGGAGGAATTGTACTCCGTCATTGGTGTCACTGGGCCCCGTTGTTGGTATCATTGGAATAAACTGTGCCCCAGTGTTGGCATCATTGGGAGGAATTGTGTCCCTTCATTGGTGTCATTGGGTGGAATTATGGCCTATTGTTGGTATCAGTGGATGAAATAGTGCCCCAAGGGCCAGATAAAAGCAAGCAAAGGGGTACATCTGCCCCCCCCCCCCGGCCACAGTTTGGAGACCATTGCTCTATATTGTATCTTCTCTAACCTCCAGTCCCTTGGTGTAAATCCTGTTCTTTTGATATGCCTTACTTGCTCCCCTTTAGAGCCTTCAAACCAGGCAATTTAGATGAGCAGTAAAGATCTTTTCTGAGGTAGTTGAAGGCAACAGAGAGTTCTCCAAGACATCTTCTACACACTTTCCGCTACACACTTCACTAGTGCCGCTGAATAGTGCCCCATGATGTAGTCATACATTAGGCAGATGGCAGAGTCCATACAGAATTCCCTTCAAGGCAAAAATATGTATTTGGCAGCAAATCCATAGGAAGGAGCAATAATCCATAACAGGGTTCAGCTTAAAGGTAGCACAAGTCCTTAGGTTCCAGACCCCACAGGGAATCCCAACTGGGCTCCCACAAGGGGGCACAGCCTGACAGTAATAGCTACATCTTGGAAGTCTTTCCCCAGGCAACTTTGGGCTTCTCTTTTTTATAGTAAGACCTGCAGGGGGCGGTAATCTTCCTAAAAAAAAGTGGTAAAACCTGTCCCACAGAGTTAACCCATCCTCTCAGAACCACCAACTCAGCATGTCAACCTAAGGACACGGCGCAGCAAATCTACATTGTTACACTTTGTTCTGACACAAATATTGTCAGGAATGGACTTGCCAGTAATGGTGGGACTCACCTGCCTTGTGGGCTGCAGTACCAGGGCTGGCCAGCGGGTGCTCCCAGCAATCAGAGACTCAAACCTGCAGCCAGCCAAACACCTGAAACTGCTTATGCAGGTGTATTTAAGTGATGGCCAGACCTGCAGGCTTTGCCTTGGTGTGTGTGTTTTTCCTGGGCCCTGTATCTTGTTCCTGCATTCCTGTTCCTGTCCCTGTTCCTGTCTTGTTGCTTAGCCTGCTTTATCCTGACCTCTGCTGACTTCTCCTGTTCTGATCCCTGGCTTGTGACCCCGACCATTCTCTGCCTGACCCCCTGTACTTACCTGCCTGTTAGTTGCTGTACCCGGCTCGTGACCTGACTACTCTCTGCCTGCTCCTCCTGTTCCTACCTGCCCGTTTGTTATTGACCCGGCCTGCCTGACGAAGCTTGCATTGTATGTATTGTTATCTGTGGGTGGTTTGGTTCGTTTGCACTGTGTTATGTTTTAGTATTGCACTGCGTTTATGTTTGTATTGTTAGTCTTTAATAAATTTTTTTGTTTATAACTTATCTGAAGCCTGCGTTTCCCTGCGTCAGTCACATACCTCTGGTCATACCCTGGAGCCCTGACAAATATAGTTGACCTGCTTAACCTCACAGCATGAATGCAATAGAACAGGGGTGTCAAACTAAAATTCATAGCAGCATTATGGTTGCCCTCAAAGGGCTGTTTGTAATTGTAAGACTAGATGTCAAAGCACCCCCCCCCCCCTTCCATCAGAAGTCAGGAGTCCCCCACCCTGCCTTAAATTACAGCAAACCCCCCTAACCCATGGCCCATGATATAACAGGCACTGGGTCCAAATCCAAGGGTGGAACCCAACCTTGCCATCTCCCCCCACACCCTTTGAACCATCTCCTCCCCCCAGCATTTTCCTGTAAGGCTAGGCTTGCTTGACGTGCCTATGATACACTGAGCATAGGGTCCAACTCCAGGTGCAACCCAATCCTACCATCTCTACCCCCCTTTTGAACCCCTTTCTCCCCCCCCATAGTTTCCTGTAAACCCAGGGCTGCTTGACATGCCCAAGATACCGATGCTTTGGGCACAGGGTCCAACCTCAGGCAGGTGGAACTGCACCTTGCCAACTTTAGACCCAACTTTGAATTGCCCCCCTCAGGATTTTTCTGTAAACCCATGGTGGCTTGATGTGCCCATGACACCCTGGGCTTGTATATTGCTGCAGGAGAGGTGTAAGAGCCACATGATATAGCCTGGGGGGCCAGATTCAGCCTATGGGCCTTGCGTTTGACATGTGCAGTAGAAGAAAAACTTTGTAACTTTTGGTACAGACTGCTTATGTGTGCCGATCAGGACACAGACACGGGGGCTGACTGACCATTCGAGCACTCGGGAACTGACCGAGGGCCCAGGGTCAGTAGGGAGCTCCATGAAATGCCCCTGTTACCTTTTTATAGGCTTTTTTGGGTATGCTTTGAGTGTGGGCAAGGACACAGGGGTCCCATGATCCCCTATTGCCCAGGGGCCCCATGAGTTGTCAGTCCGCTCCTGCACAGACATGAGATATTTGTCGACCGATCCAGCCAACAGATGGATTGGACAGCTTGCCCCGATCACTTTTGTCGGCTCAGGAGAGTTGTCCCCCCACCACGGCATAAACACACACGCTCACTCAAGCAATCGAAACGTTTCTGCATCAATCTTCAGAAAACCGTCTCAGATTGCGCCTGTGCCTCCTTTACCCGAGGTCAACTGCCTCCTTTACCCGAGGTCAACTGCCTCCTTTACCCGAGGTCAACTGCCTCCTTTACCCGAGGTCAACTGCCTCCTTTACCCGAGGTCAACTGCCTCCTTTATCCGAGGTCAACTGCCTCCTTTATCCGAGGTCAACTGCCTCCTTTATCTTACAAATCTTTTTTCTTGAGTGGAGGTTTAAAACAAAAAAAAAAAAAAAAAAAATCTCTCCGGCCACCTTGCCGGAATCGCCCTCCAAGTCATTTTTCCTTCACACAATTTTGCAGAATGCAATCACGAGCAAATCCAATTTGGGCCGAGTGGTGGAAACCGGCGAGCGGGGGTAACGGCTGAATAATGCCGAGCCGCTCACAAAGGCTCCCTCTTGCCGAAAAAAAAAAAAGATGCATTTTTGATGAAGCTCTGCAACTTCAGGGACCGGCGCGGCCGAGAGGCATGTATATTTATACCCGCGCATCGGTTGTGATTTAGGTCTCCACGCAGCGTGTCCAATTCCATGATAAGCTGGCCTTCGCGCAGATATCGAGCTGTGGCTTGGCTGTATTACAGATTGTGGAGGCTATCACAGGGAGTTTTTTTTTTCCTCGCTTGGATTTCACAGTTGTATGGTGGGCGATAGACTTTCTCGCCTTTTTGAAGGGCTTGCGCCCATCGCTCGGCCGGGCCCGCGACGGCCTTCACCAGCCTGGTACGTGGTGAGGGCTCTACCCAGTTGAACCTCTTTATCTAAACATCACAGATGAGACGACCCTGCCCTGTCAAAACCTCTTTACTGAAAACATCACAGACGGAGCGTCCCAGCCGCGACCGGTGTCGGATCAGCATCTCTCGCTCGCGATTAATATGTGTTTGGAAGGTTCGAAAAAAAAAAAAAAAAAAACGCTACTGCTCGTTCCAATTTCCTTCCTGGCCCGGCTGTTCGGATAGATCAGAGTGCCGCACAAACATGCCAAGACGGCCTGGAGGCTCAAGCTGCCTGGGTAAAACCAATGCAAATCCGAATACGGGTCTGCCAGCAGATTCTGAAACCCCCTGAAAGCCGCAGAGTTTCATCGTGGCCAGAAATACGCGCAACGGCAAACGCCAGAATCCGGGGGGATGTAATAAATAGACATTGTTGGGGAATAACTGGGCCACTCTACAGTTCTCAGCGGTGAATGGAGGAAAAACCTCGCTGCAGGCTTTGCTTCGGAGGGGAGGCTGCGGCATCTGCTTAGGCAGAATGGGGAATTCAGGCCCGTCTCAGGGAGGGAGGCAGGCAACACACAGAGAGATAGCTCCATACTTAGAAAATGGAAGTGTGGCAGCCTTCAGGGAAGGTGGGCAATGAATGAAGCCATGGCTGGCTGCCCGAAAAAATTCAATTTTCCTTTGTAGGATGGAAAATCTCTGTTCGTTAACTTCCCCCTTCCCAGTGATTAAAATGAAAGCTGGATTGCTGGTTTATTGGACCGGAACTGAATAGAGCACTTTAAAAGTGCAACTCTAGGTGGAACCCTACTTTGTACCCCCTTCCCCCCAGCATTTTCCTGTAAACCCAGGGCTACTTGATGTGCCCATGATGCCCAGCTGGACGCTGGGCCCAACTCAAGGTGGCACCTTGACATCTCAGCCCCCCTTCACAAACTTTCCTTCCCCCCAGGCTTTTCCTGTAAACCCATGGGTGTCCATGATACCCTGCCAGAGGGTCTAACTCCAGGTGGAACTGCAACTTGCCATTTCTACCCTCCTTTTAACCCCCCCCCCCCCAAGGTTTTTCCTGTAAAACCTGGGCTTCTTGATGTACCCATGATATCATAGGCACTGGGTCCAACTCTAGGTGGAACCCAGCCTTGCCATCTCTACCTCCCTCTTTGAACCTACCCCTCCCCCAGCCTTCTCCTGTAAACCCAAGCTTGCTTAATGTGACTGTAATACACTGGGCACAGGGTCCACCTACTGACAGGGGCGGACTGACCATTTGGAAACTCGGGCACTGCCCGAGGGTCCAGGGTCAGTAGGGGGCCCCATGAGATGCCCCTGGGCCCCATGATCCCCTATTTCCCAGGGGCCCCATGAGTTGTCAGTCCACCCCTGCCTACAGGTACAACCTAACCTTACCATGTCTACCCCCCTCCCCCCCCCCTTTGAACCCCTTTATCCCCTGTCTTTTCCTGTAAACCCAGGGCTGTTTGATGTGCACATGATACCCAGGCAGAGGGTCTACCTCCAGGTGGAACTGCAACTTGCTATTTCTACCCCCCTTTTAACACCCCCCCCAAGGTTTTTCCTGTAGAACCTGGGCTTCTTGATGTGCCCATGATATCGTAGGCACTGGGTCCAATTCCAGGTGGAACCCAACCTTGCCATCTCTACCTCCCTCTTTGAACCCACCCCTCCCCTCAGCCTTCTCCTGTAAACCCACGCTTGCTTAATGTGATTGTGATACACTGGGCATAGGGTCCACCTACAGGTACAACCTAACCTTACCATGTCTACCCCCCTTTGAACCCATTTATCCCCTGTCTTTTCCTGTAAACCCAGGGCTGCTTGACGTGCATGTGATACCCTGGGCACAGGGTCCAAGTCCAATTGCAGCAAATATAAGTTTTTGGCCTTGCTTTGGATCAGTTGTAGTCAGGGGTGAACTGACAACTCATGGGGCCCCCCAGGCAATAAGAAATCATGGGGCCCCTGTGTCCTAGCCCACGCTCAAACAACACCCAAAAAAGCCTATGAAAGGTACAAGGGGCATCTCATGGGGCCCACTGGCAGTGCCTGAGTGGCTAAATGGTCAGTCTGCCCCTAGTTGCAGGTATTGGGTTCAGTCATTTATTTTTTTCATTTTTCCTGAAGCTGGTCAGCGTGTTGCTTTACAATCTATATAACATACAAATGTTCCATTGTTCAGTATAAGGAGATGGATATGAGAAAAGGACAGCTCCCATTACCGCATTCCAGTCTGACGAACGCCTTTCCGAAAAGTCAGAGATGTCTCTCAGGTATCATTGTGTGCCCATGTCGGTCTGCCCAGCATGGGCGCAGAGATGGGACAGCATGCCAGCCTCCCCGGTGCATTGCCCTCCACCGTGCGATTGTGCACACCTCATCAGAGGCCACCAAACCAGCAGACGTTCCCTGTGTGCCTCTCCCAGAATCCTCAGCTGGAACTTCCTTTCAACTTCCCCATCATCTCTTTAATGAATTTATTCGTTGCTTTGATGCGATCCCTGCCTGGCGCAATCTGGAGAAGTGGAGGGCGCACGTTTAATAAACTTTCCTCTCTAAATTCATTTCAGTTACAGATTTCCTGGCGGTAAAGTCTTTTTTTTTTTTTTTTTACCAGCGGAGATGAGTGAATAATTAAATAACTCTCCCTCGGGATCTGAACCTGCAATCTTAGCCTAGGTTCACATCTATGCATGTCGGGAACACGTGCAAAATGGTGCAATTTCCCAACACGCAGAGAAACGCACTCTACAAATGTGTGGAGGTGACTTTAATTGGTAAGGGCACCCTCAATCATCTGCAAATGCGCGCTTTTTCTTAGGTGCCAGCTTGCTTGGTACCACCTTTATGGAGCTGGCATTGTACACGGGGGCACAGTCATGGTGGAACAGAAAAGGACCTTCACCAAACTGTTAACACAAGGTTGGAAGAGCACAACTGTCTACAATTTCTTTGTATGATGAAGTA